ATAAGAAGGTAGAAAAGTTGAAGAAAAGTGTACAAAAGGTTAAGAACGTAGGAAAGGTGAAGAAAAGTGAACAAAAGGTTTTGAACGTAGAAAAGCTGAAGAAAACTGAACGAAAAATAATAAGAATTTTATTATAATTTTTAGTAGTGCAAATCTAATTGAAGAAGTAGGTTGTAGTGTCACAAATCTAAAAAAGTATCCAAATAGTAGCAAATTGTATAAAAAAATTAATAAATAGTAGGTTTTAGTAGATGAGTGCATAAAGAGATGATAAGAGAGGGGGGAAAGGGGTTTGATCTCCATGTAATTTTTAATCTAAACACACACTCTCGCAGCATCTCTGATTCGCCTCCGTCCGTCCGTCCGTCTCTGTTTAGCACTTGACGCTTCCTGCTAATTTCATCGATCCGAGGCTTTCTCGTGTTTTAAGCCCCGCCGCGTGCCACGTCCTTTTATACTCATAATATAAAAGGATGCCTCTCCGAGTAGAGCGTCAGTTCACTTTATCCAGAACTAATCGCGCACTATCGTTCATCGAGCGATACGCTATAAGTCGTCTTGTTCCCATGCGTAATCCTCTTTTAGCTGTCAGAAAACATGTCTGCACTCAGTGTTATATTTATATAATCTATTGATACCCCAACGAAGAAAGGTAGAAGCAAAAAAATTCGATAGACACGAGTCCAAAACGTCATTCAATTCTTTAGCAATATTGTACTCGCGTCTATTAAAATTTAGCGATTTTTTAATGCGACTATGAGAAGTCGCATTAAAAATCGCTAAATTTTGATAGACGCGAGTACAAATGTAATTCAATTTTTTACATTTCTTATCACGTGAGAAGGTATTAGTTTTGGTCGAATTTTGATAATTTTTTTAGAAAGAAAGGTGAAGAAAAGTGAAGTTCTTGTTCACTTTTCTTCACCTTTCCTACGTTCTTAACCTTTCGTACACTTTTCGCTAAAAAGAAAAAGGTTAAGAACGTAGGAAAGGTGAAGAAAACTGAAAAAGAACTTCACATTTCTTCACCTTTCCTAAAGAAGAAATGAAGAAAAGTGAAAAAAAAACCTTTACTTTTCTTCAACAGTCCTAAAGAAGAAATGAAGAAAAGTGAAAAAAAACCTTCACTTTTCTTCAACAGTCCTAAAGAAGAAATGAAGAAAAGTAAAAAAAAACTTCACTTTTCTTCACCTTTCCTGTAGCAAAAAAGTGAAGAAAAGTAGAAAAAACTTCACTTTTCTTCACCTTTCTTATATAGGAGAAGTGAAGAAAAGTGAAAAACTTCACTTTTCTTCACCTGTTCTATAGGAGAAAAGAATAAAAGTTGAAAATAAAGGGCTTTAGAATGGTGAAGAAATAGCGTAATTTCAAATTAGAAAATTTCTTTCTTAAAATTAAAATTCCCTTTTTTTGGGCCATTTTCGCGAGTAAAGATTGTAAAATAGCTAATTTCTTTTTACTCCTTGTGTGTTTGTATATAAATTTCCTTCTTTTTTTCTCGCAGTTCCTTGTGTGTGAAATAATATATATTTATATGGCAGTACACTAAGGTAACGAGAAAAAAGCAGGACGACGAGAGCGGTGAGCATAAATTACCGGACTATCGGGAGCAGAAGAACGTCGCTTTAGTTATACGCGGGAACTCTTTTACGGCTTCGCTGGGATTTATACGAGCTGTAAGTGACAGTAGCACCGAATACCTGCGAGAGGAAAAGAGTGCGAAGGAGATGAACGAACTCTCTCTCTCTCTCTTTCTTTTTCTCCCTTTTTCTTTCTCTCTCTCTCTTTTCTCTCTCTCTCTCTCTCTCTCTCTCTTTTTCTCCCTTTTTCTCTTTCTATCTCTTTCTTCCTTGCTATTTCTCTCTTTCTCTTACTTTCTTTCGAATTTTCTCTCTCTTTTTTCTGAGGGAAGATAAATAAAAGATTCGAAAATAAGGAGAAAGAAAAAGCCGAAAGGGAGAGAAAAACACAGAGGATAAGCGAGGAAAACTCCTGCAATACCAGATCAGACTTTGCAACCATCAGAAATTCTATTATCCTCTTAAGTTTTAAATGTAAGCTGTGTGCGCGTCTCGAGGAAATATTTCTTTTTTCCATATGTTTTTTTCGAGAAAGAGAGAGAGAGAGAGAGAGAGAGAACAAATATAAAGTCAGCAAGAGAGAGAGAGAGACAGAAAGAGAGCAAGAGAGAGAGCGAGAAATCGAGGATTTTTGTGTGACAGTTAAAAAATGAAATTTTGAAATTTCGAAAATAAGACTATTTTCACCTGCCCGCTTAAGAAGAAGAAGAAGAAGAGTGGTGGTGTTGAGGAGAAAATTATATGGTTTGTGGGATTGGCCGTGGGATATCTTGTTCCCTGGGGTTTTTTGTGTGAGAGAGAGATGACGTCAAGGGTTCACGGCGTTGAAACGGGCTGACACATCTCAGACCCCCGCGCTCTCCACGAGTCGTGTCATATCCCTCCGGGTTTGAATCATTACCCGCTAACCCCGCTCCATCCAAGAAAACCGCACGACAACTCTCCGGTGATTTCCAACTACGAGTTACTTACAATCCTTATACAATGTCCGCCTTTTTTGTTTTTCAAAACCGCACAAGTTTATTTTTCCCCTCTCGTTTATATCGAGTATGCATAACATAACATAACATAACCTCCAAAAATTCTTCTCTCTTGAAAAAAGTGAATATTTTTCCCTTCATGAACAAAGTTGCGCCTAAGAATTTTATTCTATAATTTCTAAATTTTATTAATTTTTAATACTTATTTTAGGTTATGTTGGAATACAAACGCAAACATAACCTAAAATTTTAACGAAATGTTAAAGTCGTATTAGACCTCGAAATAAGGATTTTCGAAATTCGGACTCAAAAAAAAGAAATAGAGAATAAAATATTTATAGAAAAATCTTCGAGTTGAAAATAATAATAAAAATAAATATAATAATAGTAAGTGAATGAAATGGTCGCATTTACCTGAGCGTGAGTGGAATCATTTTGGCAGTTTTGAAAATTATGTTTTTGTGGCTTTGTGGCTTTGACGTTGTTATTGTCAATTGTCATGTGCGGGAATACAAGCAAACAGACGGACACTTGATGTCACGTAAAGAGAGCAAATGTCATTTAACTGTCGAGACTGTTATTCAGAATCTTTATTGTCGTTTGTCCTTTTTCATCAGCGTGACTATGGTCCTCGTCCATTGTGAGCGCAGGATTTGTCACGGAGGTCGACGCCAATACGTACTTGACGACATCTCAATTTCCTTAGGGTACTTCTACCGTAAAAATCCCCGGTTCAACTTTTATATATATATGACTTACCATTTCCGGTTCACCAATTCCATTCTTCAGAATTAAATTACTTATTATTTAGTAATGCCTCATTTCACTATAACTGCGCCTAATTATTTTCAATTTCTGTATTGATATAAATTATACTAAGACTCTGGCCTCGAATTATACGATTATTCCATTTTTTTTACTATTTTCTAAAAATACGACTTCTTTCGACTTAGTTTCGATAAATTTATGTTTATATGTTATGTTGATTCGATCGAATATAAAAAGTCTCTGACTTACTTTTTGACTACTTTTTTTGGACTTAGTTTCGATAAATTTATATTTCTAGGTTATGTTGATTGTTAGTTTCGAAAAATTTATATTTTTAAATTATGTTAATTGTTAGTTTCGAAAAATTTATATTTCTAGGTTATGTTAATTGTTAGTTTCGAAAAATGTACATTTAGGTTATGTTGATTGTTGTTTTCGAAAAAATTACATTTATAGGTTATGTTGATTGTTAGTTTCGAAAAATGTACATTTATAGGTTATGTTAACGAAGCATTCTCATCTCGTTGGATTAAAATCGTGGGGAATAAATATAAAATATGGAATAAAAGACTAAACTGTATTTATATATATAGGATGCACGTGCGTTGCGCGCACACTTGATTGGATTACACATATATATATATAGGAGCGAGAGTCCCCTTGGAGTGGCGCGAGATGGATATAATTGAAGGCAGAGGTAATTAACTCCCCTGTGGAAATGGGACCTCGCATATCGTTTTAATTACCGTTCTCATCGTCGCATTTCATCGGGCAAATATTCACTCCTGTCTCCTTCCGCATCTTTTATTTTATATATACAAAACAACTATATTTATTTCTTGTAATTATCTGATTTATATAGAAAATATTTTTATTTACTCACAGTTTCCACTCTCTTTACCATCATTTAAAATATTATTACATATTGCAGATGAATTTCCACTTTTGATGAAGTGTCCTCCAGTATTTAGTTTCCTAAGTGAAGAGCTTTGAAGAAAAGTGAAAAACGTTAAAAACTTTTTTCACTTTTCTTCAACGAGCGTATCTTTCTTCACTTCTGTATTAGGTATATATCTAGCACAGAAGTGAAGAAAGAGAAAAACATTAAAAACGTTTCACTTTTCTTCAACGAGCGTCTCTTTCTTCACTTCTGTATTAGGTATATACCTAGCACAGAAGTGAAGAAAGAGAAAAACATTAAAAACGTTTCACTTTTCTTCAACGAGCGTCTCTTTCTTCACTTCTGTGTTAGGTATATATACCTAACATAGAAGTGAAGAAAGAAAGCGAAAACATAACCTAATACAGAAGTGAAGAAAGAACGCGAAAACAGAAGCGAAGAATTTTTAGGTTATGTTTGTGTTTTATATGTATTTTCAGCCTAAAAACTACAAACATAACCTCAAATTTAGCTACTTTTGCTTTTTCTTCAGAGAGCGTCACCTTTTTCCCTTCCACCAGAACCTGAAGGGGAACATAACCTAAAAATTAGCATTTTCGAAGCGAATGGTCAATATTTAGCATATTGAATCACCAGCGAAAAATTTTGGAAACAGTATTTTTGAAACGGTTGGAATGTATTTTTACAAGAACAGGAATAAAATTATACAATATTGTGCGGAGTTTGATGAATTAATTATAAATTTATATGTGTTTACTTGTTTTTTTCCAGGTTTCGTCGATCAACAGGGTGCTGAGAAATCTGGCTGCCCAGAAGGAGCAGAGGCAACAACATCAACAACAACAACAAGGTGTGGGAGGTGTGGGCGTCGGTGTAGGGTCGGCCAGTCCAGCGGAAAGTGTCTACGATAAACTAAGGCTGCTCAACGGTCAATCTACCGGCTGGCCGAGACCTAATCCATGGTGAGTCTTAAATTTCTTTCCATAAAAATAATTTTTAATAATTTTGAATACTAAAAATAAATTCAAACTTTATGTTTCTTTATTTTTTGCTCCTTTTTTGAAATTTTTAACCTCCCCTCCTTTCATCTATTTAGCAGAGTGTTACATTAATGAAACGATTCAATTATTTTCAAAAGTCTTTCGAAATTCAATTATTTTCAATATTTACTATTTTTATAAAATTTCCCCCATAGAATTCAATTATTTTCATATAAAAATAAAATTTTAACTGGATTTCAATTATTTAAAATACAATATTAACAAAATTTTTTCTAATATCAATTATTTAAAATTGTATTATTTAAATTTTAAAGTATTGTATTATCAAGTATTGTATTGTATTATCAATTATTTTAAAGTTATCTTCGAGGAAATTCAATTGTTTTCAAAAATTGTAATTAAACCGCTCTATATAAGAATTCAATTATTTTCATTAATAAAATTTCTACAAGAATTGAATATACATTAAAATACAATTCCCTCTAAATACAATTCCCTCTAATTCAGGAGAATTCAATTATTTTAAAAAATGTTAGCAAAATTCTTCTAAAAAATTCCATTATTTTTATAAATAATAATAAAGTTCTTCTAAGGAATTCAATTATTTTTAAAAAAAGGTGATTAAATTCTTTACAAACATTAAATTATTTTGAAAAATAATAAAATTCTAGGCTAGAATTCAATTATTTTCAAAAAATGTAATGCAATTATTCTTTTCCAAAGTTCAATTATTTTCAAAAATTGTAATAAAATGCTTGACAAAATTTGAATTATTTTCAAAAATTTTCCTCAATTCAATGATTTTTAATTTCACTATTTGAATAAAATTTTCCAAAAAAATTTAATAAAATATAATATATATATATATATTATATTTTATTAAATTTTTTCAAAAAAAAAATATAATATATATATATATATATTATATTTTATTAAATTTTTTTGGAAAATTTTATTCAAATAGTGAAATTAAAAATCATTGAATTGAGGAAAATTTTTGAAAATAATTCAAATTTTGTCAAGCATTTTATTACAATTTTTGAAAATAATTGAACTTTGGAAAAGAATAATTGCATTACTCAAAATTTCAAGAATAATATATATTATATATATATAATATATATTATTCTTGAAATTTTTATTAAAATTCGTCGAAAAAGTGCAATTATTTAAAAACTTGTTGGCTTCCGTTTCCGGTACCGTTTCGGTGTACACGCGTTTGGAAAGAGTTAAGAGTTTTTTGAGAAATATAAAGGTTTTAAAAAAGGGTGGGTAGTGTAGAGTGCTGAGTGTGTAGTGTAATTTGCGGTAGTGTAAAGGAAAGGTATGTTTGTATAGAGTAGTGAATGTATAAGTGATAAAAAAGGTAAAAAAGAGAAGTGTGTTTTGTGAGGTTAGGTTGCTTGAAGTGAGAGAGAGGAGAGAGAGACAGTGGAAAAATTTTGAGCATTTGAGTGATAAGGTAGATTTCTGGAATGTCTGAGTTTGACTCAAGTAGTGTTAGCGAGAATGTGACAAAGGCGCGGGTATTTGAAAGGGGAATAGGAAAGAATGGAAAAAAGATGACGTGTGAGGATTGCATGGATTTGTTGGAATTAGTATGGATGATGAAGGACGCGATGGATGAAGGAGCTAAGAAAGTGAAGGAAAATTTGATGGATATGTGTGAGGATGGGGAATCAAGGGACAAAGAGATAGTGGAAATTGAAGAGAGGTTGGAGAAATTGCAGGAAATGTGGAATGAATGGGATAGTAAGTGGAAAAAGGATAAGGAAAGCATGTGGAGAAGAATGAATGGATTAGAAAAATTTATAAAGGAAGTGAATGAGGGGACAGAGAAAGTTGAGGGAAGTGAACATGATAGGTTGAAGTGGAAAATGGCGGATTTGACAAGGCGAGTGGATGTAGTTGAAAAGGAGAAAAGAAAAAAGAATGTAGTGATCAGAGGTATGAATGTAGGTGTGTTGGAGGGTAAAAGGGCAGTGGAAAAAGTGTTGGCTTGGGTGGGGGTTAATGTCTCGGTGAAAATGGTACAAGCGTTAGGAAGGGGTGAATATGGTTTGCCAAAGTTATGGTTGGTGGAGTTAAGTAGTGAGGAAGAGAAAATGGAGGTGATGAGGGCGAAAGGAAGACTGAAAGGAAGTGTAATAAGAATAGATGAGGATAGAAGTTGGAGAGAGAGAAGAAGGATATGGTTATTGAAAGAAAGAGCGTGGACGGAGAGAGTGATTGGGAAACAGGTAAGAATGGGTAAGGAGTGTATTTGGGTGGATGGGGTAAAGTATGTTGTGGGGGAGGATATGGGTCGAGTGATGGAAGTGTGTAAAGTGTGATAGACAGGGATAGGCTGTGAATGAGGTGAGAAGATTTTGCTTGGATGGATGGATGGATAAAAGTGGATGACTGGAGTGTGTAAGAGAGGTGAGAAAGCAGGTTTTTGAAAAAGGGTGGGCGAATTGGATTGAAGCCAGCATGGGCATAGAAGGAACTGGAAACGGAAGCCCGGCACTGGCGATAGGTTAAGAGCGTAAGGTTGAGAGCGTGGAGAGAGTTGTGTTTTAGGTTAAGTTGTATGTAGAGAATGTTTAGTTGTAAGGATTTTTGTAAATATAGGTTAAGATTATTATGTATGTACTTGGGAGTCTCGAACCCTACCTATTGTAGGGAGAGTAAATAAACTAATAATATTTAAAAACTTGTTGATAAAATTCTTTATGATAATTCAATTTTTAAATAATTTTAATCCTGTCAAGAATTCTGTTATTTATAAAAATAATTATATTCCAGCATCGAATTTCATAACTTTTTTTTAATTCTTTTGAAATTTTGTGAAGAATTATTTTATTATTTTTGAAAATAATCGAATTCCAGCAACGAATTTTTAAAAATAATTACATTTTTCGAGGAGATCATTTAAATTTGTATTAAAAATAATTGAAATCATGTGAAGAATTTTATTATTTAGAAGAATAATTGAAATCCTGTGAGGAATTTTATTATTTATGAAAATAATTGAATTTTATTACATTTTTTAAAAATGATTGAATTCTTTTGAGAAATTATCTTAAAATAGTAGATTTTGAAAATATTTAAATTTCAGCAAAGAATTTCAATTACCTACAAATAATTGAATTCTTGCAAAAAATTTTAAAAAATAATTGAATTTTTCCAAGAATTTATTAAAAATTTTATTAAAAATAACTGAAATCCTATGAAAATTTTATTATTTATGAAAATAATAGAATTCTTACAACAAATTTTATTACATTTTTTTTTTTTTTTTTGAATAATTGAATTCATGTGAACAATTTTATTGCTTGTAAAAATAATTTGAATTCTTGCGAAGGATTATATTAAAAATTTGTGTAAATAATTAAATTTTTTTTTTGAAAAATTTTATTATTTATTGAGTTTTGAAAGGTTTGAATTTGAATGTTTTGAAAAATTTTAATTTCTACCGAAAAATATTAATGATTGAATGTTTGTTTAAAATTAGAAGTTATTGATGCGTTTACGAATAATCTTACTTTCGAAGCAATTTGTAAATAAAATGTAATACAAAATTTTTTTTTGTTTTTCTAATCATTTTCTATTTATTCTAATCATAATATTCTTTCGGGAAAAATCAGGAAAGATTAAAGTTAATTTTTTGGGTCGAACCCATAGGTCAATAATAAATTTTGTTATATAGGGTACAATTTATTTCTGATATTTTAACAATTTTATTCAAAATTCGTTTGTTTTAACAGAGAAATTAATTTATAAAAATTCTATTTCTTTCGTAGGTATCCGTCCGGAGCAGGGAGTCCATTTCCAACGTTGCAACCAAGTCTGAGTCCTAGCCATTGTACAGCATTGCCTCCAGACACGGCGGACATTCTCCACGCGAAGAAAGGTGAGTCTTTAGCAATTTTTTTTTATTTTTCCTCGCCTCTCTCCAATTTTACAAGATCGAGTGTCATTTCTATTACAAGTACACGAAAACATTGCTTTTTAAACATAAATATAATGCGTTCATATAATATAAAGCGGAACTTGCAAAACCACAAAGTTTAACCTTAACAGGCTCTGTGGGCACCAGTCTCTGTCTCTTTCTCTCCAACCTATAATATATATACTCTCTCGGATTATATATATAGATATATATTATCCGAAAGGGACTACGTAGGTTTGCATATGTGGTGGCGCTTGATGGACGAGCAGAGGAGAGGATCGTTTTAATTAATTAATCCGCGTGGGCGAAACGATACTAATATCAATGTAATTCCGCGCGCGGTTGGCCACACGCGTGTGCACACGAGAGTCCAACGCTTTTCGAATAATAATCGTAACGGGAAACGGGCCGCCACGTTACGAGATTACCGCCCCGAAAACCACCAAACCGAACACATCCCCTTCTCTCTCTCTCTATGTGCCGCCATACATTATGGATATATATATATTTCCTCTTTTGCCCGCTTTTTCCTTGAATATGTATATACATACATTTATAAGTGTATAAACATATATATGTATTCGCCATTCCTATGTTTATGTACATTTAATACATATATACACAAAATTTTCCACACCCACATATATACATATAATCTGAGTTCTCTTTGGCGGCGCACATCAAACGCAAATCTCTTTGCTCCACGCCTTTTTCCCGCCGGGATGTGTCACGAACAGTTACCCTCGGGTAACTTTAACAATACGAAAGAACGCATGTCTCGCCTTTAAAACACACTCTTTATACGGAAAATCGGAATTTTTTTCCAAATGCTAGGAATTTTATTTCTTTTTTTTTTTTTGTTTTAAATTCATCCTCTTTCTACACGAGTGATTGTTCGTTTCAAAAGTCTTTTTTGTTGGAAAAAAATTCGGGGGCAATATTTGTGCGCGCAATTTCTTATTGAAGAGAAAATTGCCTATAATATATATAGAGAGAGAGGGAGAGAGAGGGAGGGACAGTAGAGAACTTGAAAGTATTAATTCCCCGCTCTTGAGTGTATAATCCGATTCGCCGCCCCGGGTAGAATTCGTATTCCGAAGAGTTATATTGTAGAAGGGGCACAATCAAATATGGTAACTGTTGCGACCGCTCAACCACATGCGGGTCCCGGGGGCTAGATTATCCGCCCGCGCGGGGGAGGATAACCCCCGTTGTATATGTATATACGAAAACTATATATATAGACGTAAAAGTATATATATACAGACCTAAAAGTAATATATATAGACCTAAGCGTATATATACGCGTTGTAAACGCGTATAGGTTTGCAAACCCATATAAGCCTAGCCGCGTAAGTTTCAGAGCCCTTGCTTCCACCCTCCATCTTTGTCTCTAGTCTCCCGTCTCCTCCGCTCGCGCATGGAGCGCTTCAAGGGAGAGCGAAATCTGCCCCGGGCCACCGCTCCCAAACACCCCAAAGCAAAGCAAAAGCAGATTACGCCGCAATCATCGCGCGACTCGAGATTCTCGATTCAACCGCCTCTTCTTATCCTTCTTCTTCTTCTTCGTCCTATCCCTTTTCGTCTTTATATAGGTCCATAGGTATTCTGCCCATGTCTCGGGAATAGATATCTCGCGCATAAGTATGAGAGAGGAGGGTTGCGAAAATTCGGAGAGGGAATGTATAAAAAGCGATCTTTTTTCAAGTTTGTTAAAGATTTATGTATTATACATACGACGCGAAAGAAAGGAAGAGGCGAAAAGAAATTTTAGGTTATGTTTGTCTATTGATATAGAGAGAAACGGGAAAATTACGATCTGCTACTATTTGAATTCTTTTTTTACAATTCGGGACACTAAAACCTACTTTTTTTGAACCATTATGACGTCACAGTTTGTGCACTACTTTTTTAATCTATTTTTATAAAAATTCTATTAAAATTCTCGACAAGAATTCAATTATTTTAATAAATAAAAAAAATTCTCCTCTGGAATTTAATTATTTTCAAACATTTCATTAAAATTCTTGTCAAGAATTCAATTTTATTACTTTAATAAATAACAAAATTCTTCGCTGGAAATTGAATTATTTTCAAAAATGTTAGTAAATTTTCTCGACAAGAATTCAATTATTTTAATAAATATATTAAAATTTTTGTCAAGAATTCAATTATTTGAATAAATAATAAAATTCTTTGCTGGAATTCAATTATTATCGAAAATTTTAATAAAATTCTTAGAAACCATAATTAATTGTTTTTAAAAAAAATTTCGATATTTAATTACTTTTAATATCTGCAATATTTTAATAAAAATCGATCATTTTCAAAAATAATAAAAATTTTCACTTCAATTCAATTATTTCCAAAAAGCAATTTTCATAAAATTTTTTCGAAAAAAGTCAATTATTTCAAAGAATTTTAATAAAATTATATCTGCGAGATTTCAATTATTTTCAAAAATTCTTTGAAAATCCTTGTCAGAAATTCAATTTTTTTTTATAAATAACAAAATTCTTTTCCAAAATTCAATTATTATTAAAAACGTTTAATACAATATTGTTCTCAGAATTTCGATTATTTTCAAAAATTTTAATTAAACTCTATATAAGAATTGAATTATTTTCATAAATAATAAAACTTTTATCGCGGGATTTTAATAATTTTTAATAGAATTTTCAATAAATTTCTCGAAAAATTCAATTAGGTATTCTTAAATTTTTTTTTTTTTAAATTCTTCGAAAGATTTCAATTACTTTTTTAACATATTAAGAATATTTTCGAAATTCAAGTATTTTTTAAAAATCTACTACTATTTTAATAAAATTTCCCTAAAGAATTCAGTTATTTAAAAAAAAATATTGAAAAAATTCTTCTCAAACTTTCAATTATTTTCAAAAACAATAAAATTCTTCTGAAGAATTCAATTATTTTAAAAGTATTTAAATAAAATTTTCCATAATTCAATCATTTTCAATGTCAACTATATTTTAATATAATTTCCCAAAAGAATAAAATTATTTTTAAAAAATAGTGACATAATTCTTTGCAAACATATTGAATTATTTTAAAAAATAATAAAATTCTTTTAAAGAATTCAATTTTTTTTTATTTTAAAAAAAAATTCTTTGTAAAATTTTAATTATTTCAAAGATTTTAATCAATTTCTTGTAAAAAATTAAAATTATTTTATAAATAATAAATTTTTTTTTTAAGAATTCATTTATTCTTTATATTTTAATAAAATTTCTTGCAAGAATTCAATTATTTTCATAAATAATGAAATCCTCTGCAAAAATTTCAATTATTTTAAAGATTCTATTCATTTTTTTTTTTTTTTTTTTTTTTTTTTGCAAAAATTCAATTAATATCATAAATAATAAAATTTTTGAAAAGAATTTAAATATTTTTATAAATAATAAAAATTTTCCGTAGAATTCAATTATTTTTGAAAATGTTGACAAAATTCTTCGCAAAAATTCAATTATTTTCATAAATAATAAAATTTTCACATGAATTTATTAATGATTTAAAATTCAATTCTCATAAAAGTTTTCTTATAAAAATAATTATTTAAACAGATTTTTTGTAAATTCTTCGAATTATTTTAATAAATAATAAAACTTATCACAAAATTTTAATTATTTTCTATACAATTTTAAATAAATTTCCCGAAAATTGGATTTACTATTAAAAAATTTTTATTAAAAATTTTAAAATTCTTCGAATTAATTGCATTACAAAGAGTTATGTTATGAATTTTTTAGAAACTATTCAATTTCAAAAGCTTTTTAAGTTCAAATATTTGAAAATTTCAATTATTTGTAAAACTAACAATATTTAATTTTTTATTTTTAAAAATCATTATTTATTTATTATTTTTTTTTAAATACTTAAAGTTTTGAATAATTTTAATTGAAAATTGCAACAAAGAAATTATTATATTTGTTTACTACTTTTTTCGGTCCTAAAGTTTCTTTCTACTATTTTTTTAAAATTAATTATCGAGTGCAAAGCCTGTAAATGTCGAAATTGTCCATAAATCGTACAATTACGTCTCAGTTTTTCTAATTATATGTTAAATTGAGTATCACAGTTTTCCTAAGGATATTAAATTGAGACCAAAAATGTATCAAAATTGTTGCAATGCAACAACTTTGATACATTTTTTGTCTCAATTGTTTAATTGTACACTCAAGTGCATATATGCTCTCCTTCCGGTTCGATGGCGCTTTCAAAAGTAAAATGTCGTCCAGAAGAACCAAAAAGAAGTTAGTCTTCTAAATATCGAATTTATTAATTTTCCTTTCTTAAAAAACTAAACATCCGCAGCTTTTCAAAAGAAAAAAAAATAATTGTCCCATTGTCCCTGAGAAATTAGAAAAAAAAACAACAAAAGTGAATAATACAAAAAACGAAAACAAGAGATGAAAAAATATACATTTTCTCACACAAAAAAGAAATACGCGCGGCAAATACTTGCTGATCTTTAGCTGAGATATACCGAGATAAAACAATATAATGGCCTGCTGGTGCATTTGTTGCTCTGAGACAGAGGAATATGAACAGAGAGAGAGAGAGAGAGAGAGAGAGAGACCATTATTGTCGATCTCTTTATCTTGTACACAAAATCTCTTCTTTTTCATACTATGTCGGGGGTTTCCTTCTCTATCTCTTGTCATATACGCACCCGCGCTCTATATATACCATGGCATATGAATCCTTTTATCGTGAACCGAGACAATACGACTATCCTCTTGTCTTGTCGTTTCTTGCATGAAACTTTGTCAGGGAAAAAAATAAAAAAGAAAAAAAAAGAAGGAAGCAAAGATATTCTCTTGTGAAAAACTTGTAAACCCTAGATGCGCGCTTCAATAGGTCGTCGATATTTTTTATGCGTCTTTCGACCTTTGCTCCTTTTTTTCCACTCTCTCTCTCTCTCTCTCTCTTTCTCTCTTTCT